GGGGTGGGGGTGGGGGGCAGAGAGTTCATAGCCCTGAGACCAGCCATCCCCACAGGGCCGCCACCGCTCCAGCACCATGTCACAGTGAAAAGAGGAGCCGCCAACGGGAGAACCGAGAAGAGGAAGAAGAAAACTCCTTCCTTGGTTTCACCCAGGCTGTGAACTCTCCAGGGCTTTCCCAACAGAGGTGAGGGTCTGGCCTAGACAGATGATTTCAAGAAATGTGACCTGATTTCTCCCCAGATGCCTGGGCCCCTAAGCCGCCCTCTTCATGGGAGTTTGCGCAACTTTAGGGAGTGAGTGGGAGATTCCTTAGGACAGGCCCTGTGGTCTGGGGATTAAGGGCTTTGAAAGGCTGGGAGACTGCGGCAGGCATTCCTAGTGACCTGGTTCAGGGCCCCTCCCTCTTTTTATGTCTCAGTGCACCCCAACCCCAGGTTGGTATCTTAATTGGAAAATAGAGATCCCTTTGGAACTGGCATGGCCCCCTCTGGAACTGGCCCCCTCCATTCCAGGAACACAGATCTCCCAACTTTCTTGGGGAGAATTGCCTTTAAGCTGGGTCTGAATACCCTCAAGCTCCCTCTGGCAGAATACCGTATGTTAAAACAGAAAGTTCCCATCCAGGTGTCATACAGGTTAATTGTGCCACTGTCTTCTTAACATATTGCTCTTATTAACTGGAATTTCAGAAACAAAGACCTGGTTGAGATAAAGAGGCATTTATTGCGGAATTGTTAGAGCTAAAGCCTGGAGACACAGATTCAGGAAGCTCTGGAGTTGTGACCTGCCAGGCCAAAAAAATGGAGGAAGTTTATAAGAGACAAAAGCAAGAAGCCCTGGTTAGTTTTAAACCTTGTCAAGAGCTATCATTGGAGAAGCTGAGGGTGCTTGTTAAGCAAGGATTGGTTGAATTTGAAATAGTTGCATAACCACAAGGCCACAAGGCAGGAGGGGGAAACTTGAAACCAAAAGGAAGCAAGGCGGGGGGCGGGGGGGGGGGGGGGGCCTTGAAACCAAAAGAGGTGGCAGATGTTCTGTCCTTGGATCTGGTACAATACAAACAAAGTTCAAGTTCTTTAGTTCTGAAATCAGGCCCTCACTGGCCTCCCAACTCCATTTTTGTATGCTGAACTGTGATTACTCCATGATAATTTCTTTTCTTTTTTTTTACATAAATTTATTTATTTACTTTTGGCTGCATGGGTTCTTCTTTGCTGCGTGCGGGCTTTCTCTAGTTGTGGCGAGTAGGGCTACTCTGTTGTGTTGCGTGATTGGATGATAAATGATTAGGAATACAAAAAACATGAAGAAATGGGGCTGCCACTCTAACTAGATGTGTTACACAGCTGCTGCAGTAAATAACTCCCTAAATTTCATTGATAGCACAGTATATATTTACTTATAACTCAGGTAGCTGTGGAATTACTGGTCACAGGAATTACTGGTCAGAGCGCAGCTTTCTTTCCTGGAAATTCAGGGACATAAGTTTCTTTTATCTTGAGGCTGTGCCGCCACCTCTAAGGTCTCCTTGATATTTTCACCTAAATAGAGAAAGGGGAAAGCTTTTGTGAAGACATGTCTGAGCTTGGGTGTCCTCAGCCTGAAGCAGCTTGAAGCAGGATTTTGGTTCCTGACCAGAGATTGAAGTCAGGTCGTGGCAGTGAGAGGGCTGAATCCTAACCACTAGACCAGTGGCCAGCGACAAGGCCCTGGTCAGTACGGCTTTGCAGAAAATGAATTTCCACAAAGAAACGGAAAGTAGTGAAACACGTAAAGTGTTTATTAGGGAGAAAAAGAGTACGTGTGAATAGGCACACGTGGGCAGGCTCAAGAGAGAGTTGCGCCCTCATGGTAGTTTGAATCACTTTTATGGGGCATTTCTTCTGGGTTTCCTTTGGCCAATCATCTTGCTTTGCCTGGTTCTGAGTCCATATTTGGTACATCTCAGGGTTCTCCCGTGTGTGTGTGCATCTCTTAGCCAAGATGGATTCTGGCCAAGAGGCCTATGGGTAGGTTGACATCACTCCCCTTTTTGACCTCCAAAGAGCCTCTCTGAGCATGTATAGTCGGGAAGGTCTCCTTGACCTTGAAAATGAGAAATATATGGTCTCTTAGCTGGGCAGGGCTTAGCTTCTCCTCTTCATCTTGGAGTATCTGTCCACAGGGGACAAACTCCAGCTCTTCAGCCTGGGGCCCATCTATCTCCTGCCTCAAGTCCATTTCTGGAAGGTCTGTGCCCAGTGACATAGCGACATACCTCACCTTGATTCATATTCACATTAGTGAGAATTATTTCTGTGGCCACATCTAGATGAAAGGGTTGGTGGAAATGTATATTTATAATATAGAAAAAATCCTCAAAACCCAACAGCAAAAATGCAAAGACTCTAATTACAAAATGGGCAAAAATCATAAAGATACATTTCACTGAAGAGGATAAAGAGAACAAATAAACGCATGAAAAGATGCTCAACATCTTTAGCCATTACGGAAATGCTAATTAAAACCACAGTGAGAGACTACTCCACAAACCTCAGTACAGCTAAATTAAGAAACACTGACAGGGCTTCCCTGGTGGCGCAGTGGTTGGGAGTCCGCCTGCCGATGCAGGGGACACGGGTTCATGCCCTGGTCTGGGAGGATCCCACGTGCCGCGGAGCGGCTGGGCCCATGAGCCATGGCCGCTGAGCCTGCGCATCCGGAGCCTGCGCTCTGCGGTGGGAGAGGCCACCGCAGTGAGAGGCCCGCGTACCGCAAAAAACAAAACAAAACAAAAAAACCCTGACATCAAATGCAGGGAAGATGTGGAGAACCTGATTCACTCATACGTTGCTGGTGGGAATGTAAAATAGAATAGTGACTCTGGAAAAGTTTGGCTTTTTTTTTTAAAGTAAATGTACAATTACCATACAACCCAATCATAATTCTGAGTATTTATCCCAGAGAAATGAACATGTATTTCACACAAATACCTCTGCACAAATGTTTATAGCCATTTTATTCATGATAATCCAAAACTGGAAAAAAAGAAAGAGATGTTCTTTAATAGAGGAATGGTTAAACAAACTAGCATACATCCACACCATGGAATACTACTCAGCAATAAAAAGGAGTGAAGTCCATTGCTTCCCTGGTGGCGCAGTGGTTGAGAATCTGCCTGCTAATGCAGGGGACACGGGTTCGAGCCCTGGTCTGGGAGGATCCCACATGCCGCGGAGCAACTAGGCCCGTGAGCCACAACTACTGAGCCTGCGCATCTGGAGCATGTGCTCCGCAACAAGAGAGGCCGCGACAGTGAGAGGCTCGCGCACCGCGATGAAGAGTGGCCCCAGCTCGCCGCAACTAGAGAAAGTCCTCGCGCAGAAACGAAGACCCAACATAGCCAAAAGTAAATTAATTAATTAATTAATTTTTTTAAAAAAAGGAGTGAAGTCTTAATACACATAACAATTTGGATGAATTGCCAGAGAACTATGCTGAGTTAAAAAAAGCTAATCACAATATTCTATTCTCTTACCTTTCAGAGCTGCTTTCTACTGGCAGTCATCAGAATGACCAGCATTCCAAGTGTAAACGCCAAAAGAAAAACTGGGCTTGAGAAGTTTAAAACTTAAAATATAGAAAAAGAAAAGAACATACGAAAAAATATTTTTTTTACAAATGAAGTATGCTTTCATTAACTTACATCTAATTTCTTCCACCTCTCTGCCATCTTACAAGCCACTGCCATACTAGATCTCAAAGCACCATTCTGATTATTGATGCCCTATTGCATGGTCCCCAGTGGCTATATCCATGGCCATTTACTGTCTCTAATCTACCTTTATAGCACCAAACACCATTGTTTTCAATATTTAAACTTCCCTTATTGATGCACTCTACACCAGCGGTTCCCAGTATAGGCTCCCTTTTAGAATCATTTTGGTCAGGCCGGGGTTGGGGGCGGGGCGGTGGTGGGGGAACATCTCAGAAAATATGGACGCTCAAATACCACCTCCCAGAGATCCTGATTTAATTAGGCTCTCCTGGTGCGTTAGAATCATTTTTTAAAAGCCTCCTAGTGATTCAAATGTGTAAGCAGGGTATAGAATCATAATTCTACCTCGTTCCCTATAGCTGAAATAACAAGTTCGACTTTGTCTAAATCCTATCTTTCCTTTAAGCTTCAGTGTAAGTGCCGTCAACCCCCATGAAGTCTTTTCCCAAAGAGAAACACTCCCTGGCCCTTGGGCCACAAGCAGTATAGTTGGTAAGTTAGTTGCAGACCAAGTTGATGTCACACTATCATTATGGACCGTTTAAAGCCTCTCCTGTTTCACTTATCCTGCTTTAAGTCCCATTTTTGCCCCTCCATAGGCACCTATTCTTGAGCATTTGATGTGCACTATTTTTTTTAAACAGATATTGTTTCTCACACAGATATATTTAATAAATATTATTATTTTAGTATAGTGAACAGTTACGTATCACAAGATTATACTTAATTTTCGTGTAACTATAACCACCACCCTAATCGTTAAATAGGATATTACCGGCCGCACTCAAGCCTTCTTGTTCTCCTGCAAATCACTATTCCCTTCTTGCCGCCAAAAGAATCTTCTTAACCTCAGAGATTACTTTTGCTTGTTTCAGAGCTTTTTATAACTTGAACAGTTCAAGGTGTATTCTATTGTGCCTGTTTTCTTGTATTGAACATTATGTTTTTGAGATTCACCCATGTCGTTGCCTATAGCAAGAGTTTGTTCATGCTCATTGCTGAATAGTATCCCATTGTATTAATATACCACAATATTTTTCCATTCTCCTATTAATGGGCATCTGAGTTTTCAGTTGTTGGCTATTACAAATAATTCTGCTATAGCGATTTTGTGTATGTCTTTTTATGTACATATGTGTTTATTTGGGGGGGGCAATGTGACTAAAATTTCTGGATCATGGTTTAGCTATGATCAACTTTAGTTGTTATGTCAAAGAGTGTTCCAAAATTTCTATAAATATTTATACCCCCACCAACAGTGTATAAGCGTTCCAGTTGTTTTATATCATCCCTAAGAAATTATATACTGACCTTTTTCATTTTATCCATTAGAGTAGATGTTTAGTGATATCTGTGGAATATTTTCCCTGTGAAAATGTTTTTTTCTATACTAAGGTAAAGTAAATCTCATTCATGTTGACTGGTATGGCAAAATTCTGGACGTTTCACAAAATAATACTAAGGAGTAATGCTTAATAATAAAGTTACTAATAGTAACTTTTGTCAACAGGAAATGATCTTCTCCTTAGGGATTCGGTGACAATTTGTTATGGAATTTATTCAAACATCTGTTGCTATGTTTTCAAGGTCACCAATCTTTTCTCCTGCAAGTCTAACCTGCCATTAATCTAGTCAGGGAATTTTTCATCGCAAGAAATTGCAGTTTTTGTCACTAGAAGTTGGGTTTGTATCTTTTCTTAAATATCTTCTGTGACTGTACTTAATAGTTATAGAAACATTTTGATTTCCTTATCTGCTATTTGTAATATCTGTATTATTCCTGATGCTGAAAGCTCAGCCCTTTGTGCACTGGTGCTGTTAGACCTGCGCGGTCTCCTAGGAGTTTCGACTCGCCCAGGAAACAACAAGAGTCGGAAGTCGATGCAAAACGCAAGAGGTTTATTGAAGGCCGGTGCACCGGGGTTCCTTGGTCCTCACGCAGGAGGTCGAAGAAGGAACCCCTTTTGGGCGCGAATATGTCAGTTTTATAGGTTCCCACTTCCCCGTATGTAAATTATAGATTTGGTTGTGTTTTCCTGCTGATTGGTCCCGGCTTAGGCTCGGACCAGAGAGGGAACTTGTCCCCAGCTTCCTGATTGGTCTTTGACAGATACCTTTTTTACATTTTGTTTATCTCCCTCCTTCTCAGAAGGGAGCCGGACATCCTGGAAATTCACCCGTTGTCTAAGAAGCCCCTATTGTCTGGAGAGTTCTTAATCATTAGCTGGAACAATGTCCCTCGAGTCCCACAGTGCCTAATCAAATCTCAGAGACAGAATTTTGGGTGCAGTAGAAAAGAATAGCTTTATTGCTTTGCCAGGCAAAGGGGGACACAGCGGGCCCATGCCCTGAAAAACTGTGTGTCCGAATCCAGGGGAATTTGGTGTGGAGTTTTAGCAATGGTTCAAGAACTGGGGTTGCTGATAAGATTAGGGTGTGTGCAGGGACTGCACTCCTTTAATCTGGTCTCAGGTAATCTAATGAGTTTCTGTGGTTCCTTAAATCTGGCCTCAGGTGGTCTGCTCGAAGAGCTTCTCTGGTTACTTTAATCTGGAATGAAGAATGCTGACATCTTTCACTTGTTGGGGGGTTTAGTTCTATAAAGACCTTAAAGATATTGTTATGTGTATCCCTTGAGGCAGAACCAGCGCCCTGCCCCAAGGCTGCACTGTTGTTTCTTGACTGTTCCTCCCTTGTCTCTGCATCCCCTCCCTTCCCTGATTAGCAACTGTTCTAATCTGTCTTTAGAACTCAGGGAAGGTCATGGAGGCTGGAGTCTATTCCTTACAAACAAGAAATGGGGGACAGAAAGACTTCCATGCCCAGGAGTCCCACAGGGTCCTGCTCCGTTTCATTCCTGGGCCTGTTTGTATTGGCTCATTTTCTTCACATCATGGGTCATGATTTCCTGCTTCTTTGCAATCTTTGATAGCATTCCAGAGATTGTGAGTTTTTACCTTGTTGGGTATTGGATATTTTTGCATTTCTCTAAGTATTCTTGAATTTGTTCTGAGACACAGTTAAATTATTTGGAAATGGTTCTAGCCTTTTGAGTCTTCCTTTTAAGATTTGTGTAAAGGAAAAGTCTACAGTCCTTCCTAATTGGTGTTTCTTCCCCGTGAATCTCCTTTACTATGCACACAGAACTCTTCACTTCTGTTCACTTCTGGTCACCAAATGCATGAGATTTTTCCCCTAAACAAGCAATTCTCTATGACACTAGCCTGGTGTCCCACGATTTAACTCAATTCTAATACTATCAACCTGGAGATAGCATCAGATCCCACAGGTTAAGGGCCCAGTCCCACAAGATTGCTTCCCACTTCAGATGCCAGTGCAAGTAGTAGGCCCCCAGGTTACCCATAACTTCTGTTCAATTTGACTACAAATCAGAGATTACCATGACCCCCTCCTCGATTTTGATTAATTTGCCAGAGTGGCTCATAGAGTTCAGGGAAACCCTTATGCTTACCAGTTTATTAGAGGGTGTGATAAAGGATACAGATAAACAGCTTGATGAAGAGATTATATAGGGTGAGATCTGGGAGGGTCTTGAGGGCAGGAGCCTCTATCCCCATGAAGTTGGGGGCATCACCCTCCTGGTGTGAATGCGTTCATCAGTTTGGAAGCTCTCTGAATGCCATGCAATTGAGATTTTATGGAGGCTTCCTTGAATAGGCATGATCGGTGGTTAACTCCATTTCCAGCTCCTCTCCACTCTCTGGAGGATGGGGGTGGAGCTGATAATTCCAAGCTTCTGAATCATGACATGGTCTTGCTGGTGACCAACCCCCTCCAGGAACCCATCCACCCAGAGTCACCTCATCAGAACAAAAGATGCTCCTCGTGCAATTATCACTTAGGAATTTACAAGGGTTTTAGGAGCTTTGCGCCAGGAACAGGAACATTTTACATATATAAAAGATATATGTATTTTTCCTATCATCTCAATTTGTTAGAAGCAATCAGGTCACCATTTAGTCTATGGCTAATCGTTCCCCACCACTGAAGCAAGATATTTATGAGTACTCCTAAAAGGCCCCATAAATGATGAGGTTTCCCAGTCTGGCTGGTCTGAACAGGCACTATTCCCATCTGGACGGGAACACCGGATACTTCTTCCTCTAGTCATTTCATGTTTTTTTCCCTCCATCCTCATACACAAGTGCTGATCAGTACACTGCTGAATACCCAAGGGGGACACTCTGTACACCCCCAGAATCCTCTGTCTGTGTATCTCTTTCTTTTCTGATACTCTATCTGCATAGCCATTGTCTCTGAGCTTCCCCTCTTCACCTCAGGGAATCTCTTGGCATTTCTCTGGTTTTCCCCTGCTTAAATCACACATACAGAACTGTCTCTGGGCAGTAGCTGGGGCAATTGCAGGACTCACCAAATTTGTTTTCAGAAGATCACTGCCCTTCATTGATTGATGCCCAGTGATTGAAAAGGATTTTTTTTTCACACATTTTCTTTTTTTTCTTTTTAGTTGATTCAGGCAAGAAAATAAATCTGGTCCCTGTTATTCCATTTTGACAGGGAACAGAAGTCTGTGGAGTTGATCTTTTTTTTTTTTTAATTAATTAATTAATTTATTTATTTTTGGCTGTGTTGGGTCTTCGTTTCTGTGCGAGGGCTTTCCCTAGTTGCGGTGAGCGGGGGTCACTCTTCATCGCAGTGCACGGGCCTCTCACTATCGTGGCCTCTCTTGTTGTGGGGTATAGGCTGCAGACGCGCAGGCTCAGTAGTTGTGGCTCACGGGTCTAGTTGCTCTGTGGAATGTGGGATATTCCCAGACTAGGGCTCGAACCCGTGTCCCCTGCATTGGCAGGCAGATTCTCAACCACTGCTCCACTAGAGAAGCCCCAATCTTTCTAAGTTAAAAGCACTTTGCGTTTTAAAATTCTAAAGGACTTGTCAGCTTCATTTATTTCCTTTACAGCCCACTTACTGGGCGGTAGTTTTGCTTCTCTTTTAGCTGATTGTTCAGATTCAAACTGTTTCCCCTCCCAGTTCATGCTTTTGCAACTATTTCGAGAGTGCCAAGTGCTCCTGATGAAGCAGAAGCATGACTGTGGAGGAAGCTTCTTTGAAAATCTTACAGACAGAACCTACCTCCAGAGAAAGCATGGAGGAGGGACGATCTGGTAAGGTAAAATTGATAAGCTTTGACAAAACAAAACAGCTTTTATTCCACTGACCACTGACAGCAGGATAGAAATTGCACTGCAGGAATATAATTCTTCACAGTTAACCTCCATAGAAGGAGAGATGTTTTGAGGGACTAGAGGTGGGTGAGAGGACAAGTGTGTAATTGTTGTGTTGGTGATTGTGTTACTGTGTACGTTACTTAAATATTTCTGCACAGTGAATTAGGTTACAGGAGGCTAAGAGAAAAATGTTCTCTGGGTTTATTTTATTAGTCCTTGCTGGCAACCTGCACCCTGGCAAGTCACATTATGATATTAAATAACAGATCATTATATCCCAGAGTCATGGCAAACAGACAACAATGGATTTGTTTTTTTAATTTTTATTTATTTATTTAATATATCTTTATTGGAGTATAACTGCTTTACAATGTTGTGTTAGTTTCTGTTGTACAACAAAGTGAATCAGTTGTAAGTATACGAATATCCCCATATCCCCTCCCTCTTGAGCTTTTCTCTCATCCTCCCTATCCCACCCCTTTGTTTATTTATTTTTGAGGTTTTTTTTTTTTTTGGTATATCTAACAATTTGGAAATACATATACTAATAAAAGTTGCCAGTACCTACTGTATAGACAGGGGACTCAGCTCAATATTAGGTAACAACCTAAATGGGAAAAGAATTTGAAAAAGAATAGATACATGTATATGTAAAAAAACAAAATTAACCATGACACCTATTCTGTAGTCTGATTGAATCTAGTAATCATATACTTGGAATTTGTTATTTGTTAGACACTGGGCTACAAAGACAAATTGTATTTAGACCCTGATTTCAGGGTTTCATCATCTCAAGGACAGCCAAATGAGTTACTCCAATTTGATGTGATTAGTGCTACAATATATTTAATGAAACCTAGGGAGTTGGAGATGGCTTCACTTCTGAAGTGACCTTTGACCTGGTGTCACATTTTCTAGAAGAAATAGGATTAAAACTCACAATTTTAAAAGAAATATTTATTGCAGTATGGTTGCTTTACAGTGTTGTCTTCGTTTCTGCTGTGCAGCAAAGTGAATCAGTTATACATATATCCCCTCTTTCTTAGTTTTCCTTCCCAGTTAGTTCAGCACAGAGCACTGAGTAGAGTTCCCTGTGGTATACAGTAGGTTCTCACTAGTTATCTATTTTATACATAGTAGTGTGTATATGTCAACCCCAATCTCCCAATTCATGCCACCCCTCCCTTCCCCCCTTGGCATCTGTAAGTTTGTTCTCTACATCTGTGTCTCTATTTCTGCTTTGCAAATAAGTTCATCTGTACCATTTTTCTAGATTCCACATATAAGTGATATTATATGATATTTGTTTTTCTCTTTCTGACTTACTTCACTCTGTATAACAGTCTCTAGGTCTATCCATGTCTCTGCAAATGGCACTATTTCGTTCCTTTTTATGGCTGAGTAATATTCCATTGTATATTTGTAGCACATCTTCTTTATCCATTCCTCTGTTGATGGACATTTAGGTTGCTTCCATGTCCTGGCTATTGTAAATAGTGCTGCAATGAACATTAGGGTACATGCATCTTTTTGAATTATGGTTTTCTCCAGGTATATGCCCAGGAGTGGGATTGTAGTTCTGTTTTTAGTTTTTTGAGGAGCTTCCATAGTGGCTGTACCAGTTTACATACCCACCAACAGTGTAGGAAGATTTCCTTTTCTTCACATCTTCTCCAGCATTTATTGTTTGTAGATTTTTTGATGATGGTCATTCTGACCAGTGTGACCAGTGTGATGATGGTCATTCTGACCAGTGTGATGGTTAACTTCTTCTTTCTTCTTCTTGTGGGATAAGGGGCGGTGACCACTCTTAGCACTTCCTTCCTCATTCTCACCAGTGTGAGGTGATACCTCATTGTAGTTTTGATTTGCGTTTCTCTAATAATTAGTGATGTTGAGCATCTTTCATGTGTTTGTTGGCCATCTGTGTGTCTTCTTTGGAGAAATAAAAGTCATAATTTTTTGTTCAAAAAATAATTCTAACTAAGTACAAAAGTATATTTTCTTTCCTTTGGGTACAAAAGTGCCCCACAAAATTTCCTTTTGGAATCAAGGGTAAATCTGATATTCAGTGATATCATTAACTATTTCAGCTAAAATCTATTGAGGCTCATTTCTGTGTCCAAATGATTTTCTCTTTGCTTCCCCCTTTGTCTCTCTTCCTCTTTATGTCTCTCTCTCTCTGTCTCACAGGCTCTGGTGTACTTTTGTGTTTCCTCTCTCTCTCTCTCTTCCTCTCTCTCTTTCTCTCTTTCCTATTCATTCCCTGGCCCTTTGATTATGGTGGCTCTTCAGCTAGCCTTATGTCATCCTGTTTAGAGTACCTTACCAAAGTAGTTTATAAAATGTGCCTTACCAGAAATTTTCAGGAGTGATCATAAAAATGATATGAGCATTTTTTAAACATAATCATTTTAGTTAAAGAGTTTTGATTTAATGAGAACATCAGAGTATTAAAACAACATAGTGATTAGTAAAAGCATTTGTTGAAATATAGTATCTGTTTAATTTTGTTATTTATCAACATCCATGCATTAAAAAAAAAAATTGTAACCTCCTTCCCATCTCCCCAGTTGATGTTAGCTGAGAATTAATTTCTTACTGTTCTCTAAGGAGACTTTTGTTTAATAAAACCATGAATAATTATTGACTCAAAAAAAAAGTCCCTGCAGAAACTGGAACTATTGGTATATAGATCCTTTGTCATTTAAAAACCGATGTGGGTGTTTGAGGGTGGGAGTTGGAGGCTAAACCCAACCGCCAGCAAACCCTTTAGCATTTGTAGTTTATAGCAAATTTGATGAGAAAGAAAAAGAACATAGCTCACACGTGCTTGTATTTCAGTCCAGCAGAAAGAATACCTTTTACTGAACCTCTATTTTCTGCTAAAAACAAACATTTCCTTCTTTCTTCTTCCCTTCCCCTCGCCCTGAATTTTATTTTTTATCAACAGGATATTGTAGTTCCTGAAACACAGGGTTCATGCTTAATGAAAAAGGAAGTTCTTAACGTTAATGTTTTTCTAGCTAAGTCAAGTGATTACATAACCGAAACTATTTGACCAGTGCAAATGTGAAACCTATTCTTTTGAAATTTAAACTGTTCCTGTAAGTTAACTAAGTTTTCTAGAACATGAAAATAAAAGTTAAAACCAGTAGACCAGTAATATGGTTCATTTCTCTGTTCTTCTGTGAGATAATTTCTGACACCATTTTTCAAACTAGAAATTTGAAGGTTGTTGTGTTCAGAGTGTAATATAAGAGGCATACGAATTTAGAGGGAGACAAAGAAAGGACACACCAGAGGAGTGTTAGGAAGGAAGCAATTTTCCTCTGCTCTTCTGGCTGGTTTAAGAATTAAATTGACATGAGATAAATAACAGGAGAAAATCAAACAAAAGTTTAATAACATGTATACATGGGAGAGACACAGGAAAATGAGTAACAGACTAAAATGGCCAAAAACTTCACCTTAAATACTGTCTCCAGCTAATGACAAAAGATGTTGGGGGTAGTGGTTTGGGACTTCAAAGGGGAGGAAGGTCATTGACAAGGATATGGAAAAGCAAATGTTTGGTGAATAAATGTTTGCTGGGCCACACAGAGACAAGGGACACAAGAGTAGACTCTGATCTTTAGGCCATATTCAGTTTAAAATCATCACACTCACCTCTTAATCTTTGCAGATATCTCTGGTGATAGCTCTATTCCAGGAACAGGCCTTCTATCTAAATTGTTTTAGGCAGTTAGGGGGATGGTCAAAGATTCTTCCTGAGTCTTTTGGGCCTTGATGGTTTTCAGCTTGAAATAATCCACGTGCCAAAGAGACATTTTGTGGTGGCAAATTTTATTCCCCTACAAAAAAGGAGAAGAGAAGTATTAATAAGTAAGCAAGAAAGAGAAATGGAACATGAAACAAGGGAGGGTGTTAGGAGCTAGATATACGGAAATAAAGACGAAGAAAAAGGGGAGACTTTTAGAAGATTAGTAAGGGGGCAAATAGGAGATTTATTGGAGAGGTGTAAGGGGAGATGTACGTCTTACTCTTCTAACAATGAAAACAATTATGGAAGTCATAACATACTGAGTTTCTAAGACAATTTTGCTTTAACGTAGAGCCAGAAAGAATGAAGGTCGAGATTTTCTTATGGAGGCAAAATCCAAATGTCGTTGTATACTGTTTAAACAAGCCAATGCGATATTGTTTTCCCCTGCCTAGCATTTAAACTGAGGTTCCCTATCATTCTGGAAGATATACGTGAAATGTAGTGGTTAAAAGAAAGTCAGCAGGAACTTTTTCAAAGTATAGTTGACATTCAGTAAAATTCACTCTCTTGGGTTACATTTCTATGAGTTTCGACAAATACATATAATCATGTAACCACATCACAATCAAGATATAGAACAGCTCCACACCGGCCACGCCCATGCCCTTTGTAAACATTTCTTTCCCGTTCCCTCACCCTTTGGCAACCACTGATCTGTTTTCAGTTCTTACACTCTTGCTTTAGAAGAATGTCTACGGAGTCTGACTGTTTTTCACTTGGCGTAATGCATTTAAATTCATCCATATTGTACTGTGTATCAATAGTGTGGACTTAGTAAAGAGAGACATTATTCACAAGGACTCTTACAATAGGAAAAGGGCTCTAAAAAGGTTCTCATGTTATAAATAGGGCAAGAAGGGGAACAGAACACCTGTGGGGAAAGAGAGCATGAGTGTGAAGAGCAGGTGTCATTTCCAGAGTCAACACTTCTCACTTGTGTCCCAGGGACACGTGGTCATGAGCACACATGAGCTGTTATGCATCTCAGTGCTTTCTTTAGTGCTTGTTTGCATTTTCAGGCAAGCCAGAGTTTGGGGGTCTTTGGGGAGGAGAGGGCCTCACTAAAATTTATCAAGCCAAAGCAAAATAAGAAATGAAGAATTTTGAACATGTTACCGAGTGCCAGCTCACTTAGCTCGCCACACGACAGGCCAATGAATCAGAGAGGAGATGCTGAGGCAGGGAATACAACTGTACTCGGAAAGCTGGCAGACCGAGAAGATGGCAGACTAGTGTCTCCAGTAAACCGTCTTGTCAGGTCTGGATGCCAGTTTCTTTTATAGAATCGGAGGTGGTGAGGAAGTAAAGTAAAAGGGCCATCAGTCTTGCAAAACATATCCTGGAATGACCAGCCTCGGTGACGGGATGGTTAATTTCTTCTTTCTTGCAGCCATTCACAGGTGGGCAGGGTCAGATTGTCTCCCTGTGAGCCCAACCAAGGCACTTTAGTATAACATTCAGGCAGAGGGGCAGGGTTCCCTGAGGCAAACCATGATGTATGATTATAATAAGAAAAGCAACAAAAAGCAAAGGTTAAAATCAAAGAAACAGGGCTTCCCTGGTGGCGCAGTGGTTGAGAGTCCGCCTGCCGATGCAGGGGACGCGGGTTCGTGCCCCGGTCCGGGAAGATCCCACATGCCGTGGAGCGGCGGAGCCCGTGAGCCATGGCCGCTGAGCCTGCGCGTCCGGAGCCTGTGCTCCGCAACAGGAGAGGCCACAACGGTGAGAAAAAAAAAAAAAAAAAAAAAAAAAAAAAAAATCAAAGAAACAGATTGAACATGGAGTCTGATTTAGCTTTTCCCTATTAAAATTCCCCACTGTCAATTTCCATTCCACAATCTTGTGGGATAAGGGGCGGTGACCACTCTTAGCTACTTCCTGCCCTGTAGGGATGATGAGGGGTGATCGTGGAACGGAATCGATCAGCATTGGGCAGGGAATAATTCTTAGAAGTTTTAGTAAATAGTACAATTCTCAGTTATTCAGACCTGACGCTGTCCTGTTCAGTAGAACAGGACTAAGCAAGTACATTGATCCACGCTTCTCCAGCTGTAAGGAAATTGCAGTGTCAACACTTATCCTTTTTTTTGCCGTACGCGGGCCTCTCACCGCTGTGGACTCTCCTGTTTCCGGACGCGCAGGCTCAGCGGCCATGGCTCACGGGCCCAGCCGCTCTGTGGCATGTGGGATCTTCCCGGACCGGGGCACGAACCCGTGTCCCCTGCATCGGCAGACGGACTCTAAACCGCTGCGCCACCAGAGACGCCCTGATTCTTATCCTCTCATTAGCTCTTCTTTCAATAACTGGAAGATTCTCTAGGGGAAAACAAACAGTTTCTTGGGCCGTGGTTCTCATTTGTGGACCTGGACCTTTTGTGAAGGGGGTTGGCAATAGGGGAGTTGAGGTACAGCTGACTGTACAGGTTGGTTCTGTGATAAATTTAAGCTTTTCTTCCTAATACCTTCATGAGATTGAGATTATGACATTTGTATTTATAGGTAAAGACCTCCAAAGAAAACGCCTACTAATTACATCTCCTCTAATCCTGCTTTACTCTTGCATCATCATTATTATTGTCCTGACTACAATTGTGATGGTACTTTCCATTTTTTTGTCAGGTAAGTTACCTGTTCTCCAAACTTTACTATGTTCTTCACACGTTCATGTTGTCGATAAATAGTTACTGAGCTCCATTATGTGCCAGGCACTGTGTGAAGTGCCTGAGGTATATCAGTGAACAAAACACACAAAAAAATCCCTGCTCCCAGGGAACTCATATTGTAGCAGGAAGACACAGATACTATAATATAGGGGTAACAGTTTGAAGAATACAAGGGGCCAGGGTAAGCCTCCTTGAAAGGATGACTTTTCAGCAAACTTTTGAAGGTGATGAAGGAGCCATGTGGCTATATGGGGAAAGCATTCCAGGTGGCAGGAACAAGCAGAATCAAAGGAGGAATCTCCTTGGTATGTTGGAGGAAAAGCAAGGAGGCTTCTTCAGCTAAAGCAAAATGAGAATGAGGGAGAGTAATGGGCTGGGGGTCAGGGAGATAATAGCCTTATGAGTCAGTTAAAAATTTCAGCTTTGGGCTTCCCTGGTGGCGCAGTGGTTGAGAGTCCGCCTGCTGATACAGGGGACACGGGTTCGTGCCCCGTTCCTGGAAGATCCCACATGCCGCGGAGCGGCTGGGCCCGTGAGCCGTGGCCGCTGCGCCTGCGCGTCCAGAGACTGTGCTCCGCAGCGGGAGAGGCCACAACAGTGAGAGGCCCGCGTACCGCAAAGAAAAAAAAAAAAAAAAGACTTCAGCTTTTATTTTGAGTGTAGTGGGGAGGATGAGGAAGAGGGAAATTGTAGGAGAGGAATGCCATGATCTGCATTTCACTGTAGAATAATCATTTTGACAGATACTTTGAGAAAAGATTGTTAGAAGTAAAAGTAGACTCAGGAACACCTATTAGGGAAAACTTGTAGAGATCCAGGCCAGAGAGGACCGTGGCTTGGCTCTGATGGTAAAAGTGGAGGTGGGACTAGGTGTCAGAATCTATCTACTTTGAAAGTTGAGTCAACAGTATTTCCTATCAGATTGGATAAGGGAGGAAAAAGTGAGGTTATGGAACAAAAACATCTATTCTTCCCATAGCCTACACTCTGAAATCTTGCTGGTTTCAGAGCAACTAACAAGGGCCCAAATATTTTCATATATATTTAGCAGAAATATGTATAAAACAAAAAACGACATAGGAAACCCTACGTTGTATGTTTGGTACTAAAATCAATATTTGAACTGTGTTATGTTTTGTCTACTAGAAGGTGTTTTTTTTGTTTTTTGTTTTTGGGTTTTGTGTGTGTGTGTGTGTGTGTGGTACGCGGGCCTCTCACTGTTGTGGCCTCTCCCATTACGGAGCACGCGCAGGCTCAGCGGCCATGGCTCACGGGCCCAGCCGCTCCGCGGCATGTGGGATCTTCCCGGACCGGGGCACAAACCCGTGTCCCCTGCATCGGCAGGCGGACTCCCAACCACTGCGCTACCAGAGAAGCCCTACTAGAAGGTTTTATACCCCCTAAGAAATGTACCATAGTAAAATCTAGGAAAGGCAAGGAGTTTGCCTTTCTTTTGTCAAGAGTAAGAAGGACTGATACTAAGGAAGATGTGGGAAAGGGGATCTGTATGATACTAGGAAAGAGTACTACAGAAATTAAATGCTACAGAAATTGATTCCTTAAAGCCATTAGTGTCCGTGTACCCCTGGGAAGTCAGATACATAGGTACTCTGCTTGAAGTCCAGTGGACTGGTGACTTCTGTGCCTGGGATAAGACTGCTAGTGATGACTTAGGAAGGCAACAATTGAATGTACGTATTTCAAGACTGACCTCAGAGGTAAAAGATCACCATATAAAATATATATATTTATTCACATATTAGTTTCTGTAGACCATTCTGTTCCAAGGCAAATCCTCAATATAATAAAATCATTTAGGAAAAACCAACTACTGCTAGCTTGCCCTCAGCAAGTGATCATGGATCTCAATATTGTATTCTCCCAGAAACCAAAAAAAGAAAAATGATCTCAGAAAGGCCTGCTGTTTTGACAAGCAGTGAAATGCAATCATATTTCCACATATTGAGTAGCAGTTGGTATTTTATAAGTGGCTAAGGCTGGTAGCATTCCAAGAGGCATTAGAAATATTAGTTGGTAGTGCGTTACAGCTCAGCAATTCTGCACATAACCAAGAGTTGGGCAGCATCCACAGAGAGTATTTATTATGTAGCCAGGCACTTAAGAATATGTTTCTGGAAGCAAAATAAGATGATGATAAGGGAAATTATGTAATGAGTGGTGCCAAAATACGTATAAAGGAAAACTATTCATTGGGAAAAACACACACATTTGGGCATGGAAGACATTTTTAACAATTTGTCTACCTATAGAAAGTAGCTCCTGTTCAGATTTTAAGAAAAACAAAATGCTACTAGCGGAGGCCATAAAAGTACAAGAGTCTAGTTGATATTTGACCATGTTTTTCTTCAAATCCCTCATTTTGGAATTAGGTTATACCGTACCTACACATACACATGTATATATATATGTGTGTGTATATATACATATGTAAAAAAAAAGACTGACCTCAGGATGGTAAGTGGAAAAATAGATAAAAGGGATGAGAAAATGTGTTTGTTATGATTCACTGTGTCTGTCCAACTTTTAGTGAGAAACACGAAGACGGTCTCACATGTTCTGTATGTTACCTGCCCAAAAGCATGGATTGGATTTGGAAATAAGTGTTTTTATTTTTCTGACGACGCAAGGAATTGGACATTCAGCCAGACATTCTGTACCTCATTAGAAGCTGGTCTTGGTCAGTTTGAAACCGAGGAGGAGCTGGTAAGAAATATTATTGGATCATGTTCTTTGTTGAATACTTAGCACCCTGAGAAAGATATAGGCTGCATAGGGTGAAAGCTGAAAGATAAGGAAGGACCCCATTCCGGGTAGACTTGGGGGCATGGGATGCATATTAGTGCCTAATATTTGTTTGGGGTATATTCTCTGCCTGGAACCCTGTGAGACAATTCAGATACATTCTCTCATGTAATCCTCATAGCTGACCTTCAATTAGATGTATTGTTCCCATTGTACAAAGAAATATGGTAATCATGTAATTTATCATCCAAATTGGGACATTTTGGGAAGTGAAAGTGAGAATATTAATATTATGCTGGAACCACAGGCATAACCTGGGACTTTCCCAAATTGGGATGTATGGTCACTTTAATGTAATTTAGGATTAGAGATATTTGAGTGACTTAAGCTGAGAAGCGGGGAATAGTTTCCCTCCAGAGTCTAAGCTTTTCAATTATACCAGGCTGCCACCCAAAGAGAGAAGGCTGGAGGGAAGAGAGACTCAAGAGTAATATGAAAGAGACACGTGTTTTTACTTTCTGTGTTTTATAATAGAACTTCCTGAAAAGATATAAAGGCCCTTCTGACCATTGGATTGGCCTTAGAAGAGAATCACCACATCATGTTTGGAAATGGACAGACAGCACTGAATATAACGCCTCGTACGTTTTTAGTCTTCTTTTCCTTCTATTGTGTTTACATGTGGTTATGTGTGTGCGTTGTGCTTATGGGAAAATAAATTTAATAGCATGGAAGGCTTACTGCTCTATGAGGTGCAAAATAGAAATCCTTTGTATGCTCTTCCACTTATTAGCTGTGCCTTTGGAAACACTTATTGTGATTTCAATTGAAATCTTAGCATAATGATGACATTTGACATAGTTTTTCCGCTTTCATCCACTGACTTAAACTGTGCTGAAATCCCTATTTAGAATGTAGAGAGAACAGCTGATGCACAGCAGGGGTCCTACAATCCCAAAAAGCCACTGAAGCATTGATATCCACAGACCCTCAGTCCACTCTCCCAGCGGCTGCGTCCATTCACAAAAGGGAGGTCGTCAGGGAACCCGTGGGAATCCCCCCTAAATTATCTCTGGAAGGAACTTAGGAGCATACCTTGGATTCTGAACACTTCAGTGGGGGTATTTTGAATTTAACCATTACATTGGAGCAGATAAAATATAAGGGCCCTGTCGCTTCCATCAATCACAGCTAAGCCGTTTTAAGAATTTACTATTAAGTAAATAGTTTTATTTTCACACTTATATGAAACAGGTCAGGACAACACTGAAAATAATCTTCACTGAAGGCCACTGACAATGGAAGTAATCAATAAACAATCAATAATAAGAATAGAAAAGAGTTTTATTTGAGCCAAGCTGAGGAGTAGCCCGGAAGCCTGCTTCGCAGATTACTCTGAGAAACTGCTCCAGAGAAGCAGCGTTTCCAGCAAAGTTTTATATTTTATATTTAATATCTTGTCAGAACAGAGAACATTAAACAAGTCAGGGTTACATTTCTTCAAGGTTTCAAATAAAAAAAAAAAAAGGACCAGCATGTACACAGCCGGCCAGTATGGCCTTGGCCCCTGGGAAGGGAGTCTTATCATTGAATGAGGACAAGCATTGGTGTCCCAAGAAGAGGGGCATTTAATCTTTATTTTTTTATTTTTTTGCGGTACGCGGGCCTCTCACTGTTGTGGCCTCTCCCGTCGCGGAGGACAGGCTCCGGACGCGCAGGCTCAGCGGCCCTGGCTCACGGGCCCAGCCGCTCTGCGGCATGTGGGATCTTCCCGGACCGGGGCACGAACCCGTGTCCCCTGCATCGGCAGGCGGACTCTCAACCACTGCGCCACCAGGGAAGCCCCTAATTTTTATTTTTAACATGGTCATTCTTTACTTCTGGTCAATGTGCCCTTTTCTTTAATAATTAAAGCGGATGTACAAATGTATGTTTGATAGGCCACATTTTAGATAGCATAAAATTCAAGTTAACTCATGTATAAGCCAGAATGACTTCCCCATATCTCAAAATGTGATAATTTCTTTTATCACCGCTGATGGCAGCAGTTCACTTGGCTACAACAGCAAGCACTAGTTAAATACCTGATAAACAACATAACTGGATTTGGTATGGACGATGATAATCTTCTGATATTCAAGCAGGGACTCTGAGAATAGAAAAGGAACGAAATACAGACGTGGTATATATTTACGAAGAAGCCGTATGAATGACAGGTTTTCACTTTTCTCTTGTTCACATGAAAAATACCTGGAGTAGGGGTGCTGAAGAATACAGAGGAGGAATGAATGTAGATGTCTGTCCAACCTATGCTTTTTTAATATTTTTGTGTTTGGTTTTAGGTTTTTTATCAAAGGAGTTGGGGAATGTGCCTACCTGAATGACATTGGACTTAGTAGCGCCAGGAGCTACACAGATAGAAACTGGATTTGCAGCAAGACAAATAATAATGTCACCGTGGAGTTAAATACTTTAAGGACTTTTTAGGGAATTTCACGCACCATCTCCAAGAGATGCATTATAAATTGTTATATACAGCTGCTGCTGTATTTCTTGGCCTGCCAAAAATATTAACAATGTGCATTTATAATCCTTGTTACCAGCAAAGAGGCAAGCTATCCTTGAATGATGTAATATAGGGATTTGGAAGAGCATGCTTCTAAACTAAGTGGGTGTTAAGAAATATGAGCTGATATTTGTATTTTGAACCCTATAAATATGAACGAGTTCCTCCTTTTCTGTACAGACAGCCCTGTATTTGTACACATGGGACCATAAAAATGACTATGACAGCTGAAACCATGCAAAATGATTTTAATAACCAATGAGAAAAGATACAATTGGTTGACACATTCAAAATTCTCTTACTGTCAGTTAAAAATATATAGGGAAATTTTAAAAAGCACTAAGACTAGGGACTTCCCTGGTGGTCCAGTGGCTAAGACTCTATGCTCCCAATGCAGGGGGCCTGGGTTTGATCCCTGGTCAGGGAACTAGATCCCACATGCCACAACTAAAGATTCCACATGCCGCAACTAAAGATTCTGCATGCCTCAACAAAGTTTGAAGATCCCAAGTACCGCAACTAAGACCTGGCACACCTGTTAACCATAACTTTGTCTCTGTTTTGTAGATAAGTTCATTTGTACACTTTTTTAGATTCCACATGTAAGCAATATTGTATGATATTTGTCTTTCTTGTCAGTTTCCTTTTGTAATTCTATATACAGTTTTGTATATATTTATATATATTATATATTTTTATATACACTTGAGATTATGTATGGATGCTTTTTGGCTTACAGTTCATTTTATCTCAGGTTTTCTAAGAAGCAGGGACTATGTCTAGTTCACTTCTGTGTCCTCGGAGACTAGTATTGGGTTGGCCAAAAAGTTCGTTCAGGTTTTGTGAGATGGAAAAACCCGAACGAACTTTTTGGCCAACCCAATACAATGCCTCAGGTATAGCATATGTTCTAAATATACCTGTGGATATATCTTCATGACTATGAGATCCTTTCCTATTTGCTTACCTTTGCTTAGTTTCTGCTAACTTTCTTATAAAGAAAGCTAAATTTCCACAGAAATCTGGAAAGTAAAAAAAAAAAAAAAAGATTTTATATTGATAAACTTACATATGAAAGTTTAAGTTAGTGTGACTAACTTACAAATGAAATTTGAGTCAAACTGTGACCCTAACTGTATTCTTCTACAAACTATTTTCCAAGCCATGTATCTAAAGCGTGAATTCTGTTTCTTAGCTGTGACCTTTATAAATTACATAGCCCCTCAAAGTAGAGTTTCTTCCCGTGGAAAATAAAGTGTAGAGTTCCCTTTGCTAAATGGGAAGGAAACCTAAAATAGAGAGGATATAAGTATACCTGATTCATTTTACTTACAGCAGAAACTAAGACAACATTGTAAAGAAACTATACCCCAATAAAAATTAATAAAAAAAAGAAAACATGTTGAAATCAAACCTTTGATGGATATGAAACTATACCAAACTCACTTGGGAGCGTGCAGACAAAGCAGTCTCAGAACCTTCACAGTTCCTGACAAAACTGTCAATCTTGGATGGGGAGGGGTACAAGTAAGTCTAAATAATATTAAGAAGAATATTCTGTACAAATTGAGATGACTTTCTGACATAAAAGAACTTTTTCTTCTAAATGCTAATGTTTCTATATTTCATAGACCTTAACTCTAGTTTCAATCTGAAATAAAATCAGACTTCAACCAGAAAAAAAATTTATATATATGTGTATGACTACCAGTTTCACTGGCTAGTTTTAAGATTCAAATGAGGTAACAGATGAAAGTCTCTTGTCACTATATCTGACTTAGTAAATATTTAATAAATAGTTTTTCTTCCATTATTGCTCTATGGAAATAAAAGTAAAAATAACAGCAAATTTTCTGCTACCAGTGTGGGAACGTCTAAGTGATGATAAATCCATTGTCACTTTCCTGCTGCCACCAGCAGGAAGTCAGTGAGCTGTATAAATCAGTTTCTAGTGCTTCAGTAGAAATCACTACTGGTTGAATTAATCATTCAAAGCTCATGAGGAAAACATTTCTCCACAGGAACAAGCCTGCAAAAGTACCCAGAAAAACATCTACATAATTTGGGACTTACCCATTCTTCCCCTTTAAATTCATTCTGATTCATTCTTTATATTGTAACCAGATGGATTATTCTAATGCAAAGTGTGATCGGGTCACTCCTTTAAATAAAATCTACTAATGACTTCTCCTTTACTCTCAGTGTACCACCCAAACTCCTAAGGCTAATCAGGGTCATATAATATAATTGTGTCACTGCCTCTCCAAAATATAAAAAACAAAACAAAAGCCTCCTAGAATTAATGAGTCCAGAAAGGTTGCAGGATACAAGTTCAAGACACAAAACTTAAATCACTTTTTATATACTAACAATTAAGAAGTGGAAACAAATGAGAAACACAATAGCACCTGTCATTCCAAAGAAAGTGAAATATTTATGTACAAAATTAAAACACATTCATGAAATGAATGCTGAAATTTTAAAACGCTGATTAAAAAAATGAAAGAAAACTGGATAAATGGAGGTACAGACTGTGTTTGTGGATTTGAAGACTTAATATAGTAAAAATATCAGTTCTTCCCAAAGTGATCTATAGGTTTAATGCAATTTATGTCAAAATCCAGCAGGATTTTCAAAGAAATAGACTATTCCAGAATTCAAATGGAAAGACATAGGCCCTAGAATAACAAAACAATCTTGAAAAAGAACAAATTGGAGGGAATCATTTTATATGATGTTAAGGTTTACTACATTGCTAAGGTCATTAAACAATGTTGGCAGAGTGCTGGACACATAGATTAATACAAAAGAACAGAGAACCCATAAATAGACCCACATAAATATGACCAACTGAATTTTCACAAGGGTACCAAAGCAATTCAGTGAGTAAACGATGCTGGAGCACTTGGACATCCTCTGGCAAAAAATGAACTTTGACCTAAACCTTACATCTGAAACCAATATTAGCCCCAAAGGGACTCCAGGCATAAATCTAAAACATAAAACTAGAAAGATTTTAGAAAAAAATATAGGAGAAAAATTTTTGGATATAGAGTAAGGCAATAAATTCTTAGACCTGACATCAAAAGCATGATTCATAAAAGAAAAAATTAATAAACTACACCTCATCAAAATTAGATACTTTTTTGTTTGCCTAATACCCTGTGAAGACAATAAAAAGACAAGCTAGAAACTGGGAGAAGAGTTGGCACATAAGTTGTCTGACAAAGGACTAGTATCTAGAATATAGCAAACTCTCCAAACTCAATAATAAAAAATCCAACTAGAAAATAGATAACTTTTTTAAAAAAAGATTTTCTTTTAGGTAAATTTCAGGTTTACAATGAAATTGAGAGGACAGGTCAGAGACATTGCATATACCCCCTAACCAGACACATACGTAGCTCCCACATTATCAATAATAATATTGATATTATTATCACCAGGGATGAACCTACATTGACACATTATAATCACCCAAAGTCTACAGTTTACTTAAGTGTTTATTCTTGGTGTTGTGCATTTTATGGGTTTGGACAAAAGTATATCGACATATATGCACAGTTACAATTTCACTGCCCTCAAAATTCTTTTTGCTTTGTCAATTTATCTTCCTCCATTCCCTGACCCCTGTAACCACTGATCTTTTTATTGTCTCCATAGTTTTACCTCTTCCAGAATATCATACGACTGGCGTCATACAGCGTTTTCAGATTGATTTCTTTCACTTAGTAATATGCATCTAAGTTTTCTCCATGTCTTTTCATGAATTGGTAGCTCATTTTTTACTAGCTCTGAATAACATTTCTTTTGCCTGAATGTTCCACAGTTTATCTATTCATCCACGAAAGATCTCTTGCTTGCTTCCAAATTTTAGTAATTATGAATAAAGCTGCTAAAAACATCCTCATGCAGATTTTTATGTGGACAGAAGTTTCCGACTCCTTTGGGTAAATACCAAGGAGTGCAACTGCTAAATCATAGCGTCAGTATATTTAGTTGTGTAAGAAACCACCAAACTCTTTCCAAACAGATGGTATCATTTTACATTCCCAAAAGCAGTGTAGGAGAGTTCCTGTTGCTTCATATCTTTGTAAGCATTTGGTGTTGTCAGTGTTCCAGATTCTGACCATAATAGATGTGTAGTAGTACCTCATCATTATTCATTATTCTAACTTCATTTCCCTGATGGCATATGATATGAAACATCTTTTTCATATTTGCTTACTTGCCCTCTGTATATCTTCTTTGATGAGGTGTCTGTTAAGGTTGAGTTTAAGAGTCCTTTGTATATATATTTCGAATAACAGTCATTTAGTGGATGTGTCTTTGGCAAATATTTTCTCCCAGTCTGGTTTGCTTTTAATTCTCTTAATATTGCCTTTTTGCAGAACAGAAGTTTTTAATTTTAATGAAGTCCAGCTTATTAATTATTTCTTTCATGTATAGTGTCTTTGATATTGTAGCTAAAAAGACATCATCATACCCAAGGGCATCTAGGTTTTCTCTTATGTTATCTTCTAGGAGTTTTATGGTTCTGCATTTTACCTTTAGGTCTATGATCCATTTTATGTTATTTTTTTGTGAAGGGTGTTAGATCAGCGTCTAGATCATTTTTTGGTTGTTGTTGTATGTGGAGTTTCAATTGTTCAATCACCATTTCTCCATTGTATCGCCTTTGCTCTTTTGTCCAAGTTCAGTTGACTACGTTTATGAGGGTCTGTTTCTGGTCTCTCTGTTCTGTCCCATTGATCTGTTTGTCTTATTTCACCACACTGTCTCGATTACTATAGCTAGATAGTAAGTCTTGACATTGAGTAGGGTCTGCTCTCCAATTTTCTTCTCCTTCAATATTGGGTTGGCTATTCTGGGTCTTTTGCCTCTCCATATAAACTTTAGAATTATTTTGTCAAAATCCATAAAATAACTTGCTGCATTTTAAATTGTGATTATATTGAATCTATAGATCATGTTGGGAAGAACTGACATCTTGACAATATTGAGTTTTCCTATCTGTAAATATAGAGTATCTCTCCATTTATTTACTTCTTTGATTTTGTTCTTCTGAGTTTTGTACTTTTCCTCATATAGAACTTGAACATATTTTGTTAGATGTATACCTAAGCATTTCATTTTTTAGGGTGCTAATAAAAATAAATGATATTTTGTTAATTCCACATTTTGCTTGCTCATTTTTGGGGTCATGGAAAACAATTGACTTTGGTATAGTCTCCTCTCACTCGTGAACATAAGGCTAATATCACGTGACTCAAAGCCCCAACCCTCTTCTCAC